CTTTTGGTTCCCTAACAATCCACCCTGTGCAGAAAACTTGAGTTTCAAGAGCCGTGGCGTCTATCGAACCAGGCTCTACGCCCCCGGGTTAGACAGTGTAGATTGGGTTGCCTGCGTACTAGGCGCCCTGGTGGTGCAGCTGAGCTCCCTGTTGAGTTCCCTGGATGGGTGGGGGTTTATTGGTCAGCCACCCCAAAGAAATCCATTGCCCATCTATGTAGAGAGCAATTTGTTGAGTAGGTGATTGAAGAAAACAAGGAAACTTGAGCAACAGCCATCTGCATATATTATAAGAAATCATGAGAGTAATGTACAGTACATTGTGGTACCTCCAAATTTTTTAGTGTAAGAGGGGAATTACACATTCTATAGAACACAGTCTCACTCTCCCTCAATCTCACAAATCACATGTACACAACAAGAATAAAACTGACACAGCATACATACATGCAATTTAGGATCTCAAAGCTGGTGTGCAAACATTCTATCACAAACTCGCACACTCACACTTCTATCAATAAACAAAATAAGAATTTTTTGGGAACTTGTAGAGAAACAGGCCAAATCACATTCAATGAAAAAAAAAATCCTCTACATATCCCAAGTTATCACATATAAAATTCACAGCAATGCTGCATTATATACAGTCATGGGTTAACATCTTAAAATTAGTAACTTAGTCATACATTAAAAATATTGATAACTGGGACCAGAATTTGTCATCATGTGTTCATGTCGATATTCAGACCTCGAGCTGACATCAACTTGAGTTCTTCAGCCATTGTTACCCTTGGGTAGGATTAAAAAAGGCTTTTGGTCCACTTTCTCAACTCTGCTTTCTTTCTGATTCCTACATGGTTTGTTTCTAATAAATCTGTCTCCATATATATACAAACACTAAAATAATTTTTGTTCCAACAATCAGGCACCATCTTTAGATCACAATCACACTATAACCAATCACATGAACCAATCACACAAACTGAACAGATTGAAATATGAATCCATGTATAGCACTTTAATTTAGATAAGTGGTATGCTTAGCAAAAGCATTTCTAAAAGGTTCAAGAGTAAACCTCAGCTCCAATACGGTCTAGAATAGAATTTGACAGCTACGAACAGCACAAATACTAAGGCATCTACGGCAAGAAGAATCTTAAAACATTGATATGATACAATTTTTAATCAAGCAACTTGCTTATTAAAAGAACATTCTACAGCAGCCAAAGTAAACTAAAAATCATCATATTGTAACACAGAAAATATAAGCACATTAATGTCAATTTGAAATGTCCAAACTGATCCCTATTTATTTATTCAACAAAACAGAAATTAATGCTGAGATCATACAAACCAGCATGTGACTGAAATTCCTCTTTGAATTTGTTTGGTTCTTCGGTTTTATATTATCGCATAAATATTCAAGATTAGGCACATACTCCATTTTTCAGAAAAAAGGTTTGCTGCTTTACATTTACTTTAATTAATTAACTAAAAATATACAAATATTTTGGTACAAAAATACTATCTACGAAGTATTTACATAGAAGGGAAACGTGAATGCACAGACTGAAAGACTAGAATGGGTTACAGAGACCACTGTCAATGGAAATGACAGAAGGGTCCTTTGCCTCACAAGGCTGCAGCTTGACAAGGGAAGCATTGTTGCTCTAAGTACAGGGCGCCTGTCCTGTCAGTTTCCCCTAAATGATTTTGTTAACATTTAACAGATTTAGCGTAAGCGTCACAGTATAAAAAATAAAATGGCTGTTTAACCTTGTCTGCCTAATACATCTACAATTCTAAGGCATCAAGCTTATCAGTAAACCTATTAAGTATTTAATTTTTATATTTTTCTTTCTGTAATACTTAGACATGGAGAATCATATTTAATTGGTATTTCACACTTTTGCCCTGGATTCAAAACTTGATTCGCTAAATTCACACCTGATTCATACAGAGTAAATGTTAGGTTTTTATTTTTTCAGGACATTAATGGCATTGGCTCAGACAAAAGCAAATCTAATTTGAAAAATTAATTGAAAAAAGAGTTTATCATAATTAATGAATAAAAAGATAAGGACTTTCATTCTATGAAGATAGGTTCTTAGCTACACTTCTACACAAATGTTGAGAAATACATAGTAAAAATGTTACCTTTAAAAGCAGAACAGATAACAAATATTTTCCAATAGTGTGACCCATTAACTGCAAGCCAGTTCAAATGACAGTAGTAAAAAAAGTATGAAATGCAATCAACAGTCAAAAGCAAGCTGGGCACAAAAGTGGGGGACACACCAATGCAAAGTATGCATTTTTAGGTGGAACCAAACATACTGACAACAATGTGAAAAATTTGCAAAAATTATTTGTTGAAATAGTCTCAAGATATATCAACTGCCAAACATGAACAAGGGCGGTTTAGAAAATCATTTTCTAAATGTGTTAAAACACTTAAAACATATGTAAGTCATTGATTTGTCCAGTATCAAAGTGTTAGTCAAGAGAGCAGAAATCACATACTCCCTAACCAAATTTACAAGGAAAAATAAATTTTGGAACTAATCGTTTCAAGGGAGTTAATGGTAGCTTTTTGTAACTCGCCAGAAGAAAAATAGGATGTATGTGTACTAGTGATTCATCTTACTACTTAGAATAAACTTCTCATGGCAGTGATAAGAATAGAAAGCCACAAAAGTGGTGTTGCTAAAGGCTTGCAATGCAACGAGTCACCTGGGGTGCAAGTGTCTACAACTAGGACACAAGCATTGTCATTGTATTTTTCATACTCCGCGGTTGGCACAGACTAAGTACAATCCACCCTCACCATCTCTTATTTCACCATTACATCTCGCCAAGGGTCATGCCATATTGATATATACCGCAAAAACATGTTACACCATCACATCAAAGGAACTTGTACAAGTAAACTGCAGTGAGTGTACGCTCATAGCATCATCACAGTTCTCATTTTTTTTAAAAAAAGGATGTCCTTCAAATATTCACACCAAGTGTCTAGCTTGCCTGGCGGCAAGCTCCATAGACTAAGAACTGACATTTTATGATCAAGCACACCTCATCCACGAATGTCAAAAAAGTTCTTTTCAAAGGAAAAAGGAGAGAACACAAAATGTTGTCACTGGAATAAAAACTGGTCGGCTCATAGGCTACCAACGAGGGTCCATGAGGTGTGCCATTGGTGGCCATGGGCCGCGAGAGGGTGAGTGGGCGGCGCCCGGCCCCGGTGGGGGCTGAGGGCGAGGCTGCCTAGAGGGCTGGCCGGGGCTAAAGCCGGGGCTCCCTGCGGGGCCCTCTGCGGGCCCAGGGCCAGCCATACCGCCATGGGGTCCACCATGCGCCCCATGACTGTCATGGGGTCCACCATGGCCTCCATGACGGGGACGGTGAACAATCCTAGATCCACTCGGGCCAGCGGGGTCGGGAGGAGGAGCCCTCCTGGCCGCGGGCGTCGGCGAGGATCCGGAGGCTCTCGAAGTGGACGGTCCAGGTCCAGGACCAGGTCCAGGACCCCCGAGGTACCTCGGGCTGTAGCTGGACGAGCCGCTGGAGGAGGGGCTGCTGGAGGAGTAGCCGCCTGGGGAGGACGAGCTGCTGGAGGGGCTGTTGCTGCTGCTACTGCTGCTGCTGGCGGTGCTGCCGCCAGCGACGCGGGGGGAGCTGGCGGGGCGCGCTGCGGCCGCGGTGGAGGCGGAGGCAGCCGCGCTGTTGGAGGCGCCGGCCGACGTGGACGCAAGCGTGGACGGCCTCGGGCTGGGCTTGTCGGGCTGGCGCGCCGCGGGCTGCGGCTCGGCTGGTGGGTCCGGCCCTCGCTGTGGTCCGCGGGGCCGGCACAAGTCTCATTCCCAGCCATTCTCCTTTATCATGTGCGCCAGCTCGATGATGTACTTGCCCTCCTTGTACTTCTGGCTCGACTCGAACGCCAGCTCCTGTCGAGCAAAAGAAAAGAGCAGACGGTCAGCACGCACTTTACTCGCTTCGCGACTCGCTGCTCGTGCCTCGATCTCGACGACGCGAAGGACTCACATATTTCCAGCCGAGCGTCGTCTTGCAGCACTCGCAGTAGATGTCGGCGACGGCGTGCAGCCCGGTGAGGAGCACTCGCTCCTCGGCTGGGCCACACCCCACGTTCACTCTGTAACACGCAGAGGGCGCTCCGTCAGCAAGAGACACTCTCCCGCTCGAGCTCCTTGCACACCTCCACAGGCAATACTTACACAGAGTTAAATAGGTATGCGCGCCCCTGGCTGCCCTGGAACGACTGCAAACAAAGAGAACAGCGGGTCAGATACTTGTGGGGGTTGACAAAAGGACACGAGGGCAGGGAGGTTCGTGGTTAGATGCGGAGTTGCTCCGAATGAATTTCATCAGGATGATCGCAGATCGTCCACGCACGTAAGCGAAGGGATGGAGTATTGCAGAATGGGCGGGAGGGGGGGGGGAGCTCCTCCCTTGCTGGAGGGGCGGGCCCGGGCAGGCGCCAGTCAGCTGTTGAGGGTGACGTCAATGGTTTCCAGAGCCACTGCGATAAGGCGGGGAGATGGGAGGGAGGGGGTACGAGTGTGGGGGAGTCACCCTCCTCTCTCCCCCCTCCTCAATGTATCGATAGCCCTGCACCGTCGTGGTTGACGGCACCCGGGGCCCCGCTATACCCTCAAACAACGAAAGCTCGATCAACAAGTAAGTCCAAGTGTAAGTTTCCCCCCGAGTTTTTCTACCCCCCGCCCCCAACCGACACCCTCTCTGCCTCCCCTGCCGTTGACTACACACCCACGGGGCCAGAGCACCCGGACGCCACGGTCACGTGTCAAGGAGCACGCGCCGCCACTTTTTCAACCGATCACCCACGCAACGGCGTAGGAATTATTCAATTCTCGTTACGAGCTGGACCGGCAGCCCGTGTAGACTATCACCCCCCGGCTCCCGCGGAGTCTACCCCCCCCCCCCCCCCCCTTTACCATTTATCGACAACTGCAGCGCTTCCACGGTACTCCCAACGGTATACTGTACACTACACTCCAGCTCGCTCCAGCGGGGGGTCGGACGCCCGCCACAAAGGGCAGAGAGAGGATCGTTCCGAAGCACCCGCGCCACCGCATGGACGCCGAGTCGATCATGGTAAACGGGTAAACGCAATTACTGCAAAGTGTATGTGCACACACCCTGGTTAAAAGCACCAAGAGACTTAACATTCTTTTTAAAAAAAACGGGACAAATTGAATTTAGTTTAGATTCTGGGCTTTAGCTCCACACGACCTCCGGGCGCCGTGCGGGTAGGCAACGCGACCGCACCCATGCGTGCCGGACAGTCTATCATTACAAAGAAGTGCAACGAGTGAGAGGGAGACAGAGGGAGAGGGAGAGAGAGGGAGAAGGAGAGAGAGGGAGAGAGAGAAAGAGGGAGAAAGAGAAAGAGGGAGGCAGAGAAAGTGGGAGAGAGAAAGAAGGTGGGAGAGAAAGAGGTAGGGAGAGAAAGAGAAAGAGGTAGGGAGAGAAAGAGAAAGAGGTAGGGAGAGAAAGAGAAAGAGGTAGGGAGAGAAAGAGAAAGAGGGAGGGAGAGAGAGAATTTAGAATTTGTTTATTTAAGTCTTGTAAGAGAGAGAAAGAGGGAGAAAGAGGGAGAAAGAGGGAGAAAGAGAGAGGGATAGAGAGAAAGAGGGAGAGGCACGTACCTTGGAGATGAGCTCGTCGTGGTTGGCCAGGTGCGCGCGGCAGTGGATGCACGAGTACGTGCGGTGGCAGTGAGGTAGGTACGCCTGGAAAGTCTTCACCATGTTGGCAGGACTGGGGCTTGGCGGGAAGCAGTGATAGGGATCTGCAACAAAAGGGTTATGGCAACGCTCTTTATTCCCATGTTCCGCTAGAGGCGCGCCGGTACCTCGGCCCCGAGGGCCTATATCGGCCAGGGGCGCGAGGCACTTATTGGCGCACTCTCTCGGCGGACGTGTCACACCGTCACGTCCAGCGGCATAGCGGGTGACGAACAGAGGCGCGGCGGTGGTGACAAGCCGACGGACGGCATCGCCTCTTTGGGACCCGCGGACAAATGCCGCGCTGTCACGTCCGCGTCAAAACAGGCGCGGGGAAGAAAATCCGCTCTGCGCATAGTCCTTTGCCACGGCGTTGAAGTTCCAAGCAAAAGTTTCGAAATAGATTGTTGGCAGTTTGACGAGGAGATGCTGAGTTTTTTTTCTAGCAAGTATTTTCCTTATTTAACCCCACTTAACCAGTGAGGGAAAGGTGCCAGAAAGCCTATAGCCCGGTCTCGCCCGCTCAAACTTGATTTCAAGGACAGCGTCGGAGATTGGCAAAGTCAACAGCCTCCGAGAACTGCCTAGCTATAGTAGTTCTATTAATATGTTGAGAATTAACGCGGAAATAAGGCAACTACACGGAAAACGAACCATAAAAGAATCTATTCTTATACATATAATGTTAGGTTAGGTTTTTATTTATTTATATTTTCTGCTACGAACAAAGTAGATTTTATCATTTTTGGTGGTAACTCACGAGTAGGGATCATTTTGGTCTTGCGTCCCACATGTCAGGAGCGGCCCTCCTTGTTCTTTTCATCAGGCAGCTCAAGCCCCTTGAAACATTCTGCAACAGGCAACCGGCAAGGACGTTTAATTCAGAGACACTTTATCACTGGGCCATCACGCGCACGCAGAGGTGCACCAGAGAGACAAACAACAAAAAACAAAATATTATGACAACACTAACAACTACACATTTGGCAGAAAAGAAATGATAAGACACGTCGTGAAAGTAAAGAGACGACCGGAGACGACACACTCGGCTACTGGAGCGACCGGAGGAGAGCCCATGGATGGGCCTGGGCCACATAGGTGAAATTGGCGGCAATCGGATGTGAGCAAGAGAAAAACGAAAAGGGTCCTGCGAAGGGTTGGCGAGGCGAGCGGGGCCGGGCTAGGCCGGGCGGGGGACTTCCTGAGAATAAAACCGGTCGACATCGCGCGGACGTGCATGCGGATAACTAGCCATCGCCCCGCCCCACATCTCCCGAGGGGATCTCACTACTCGCCTTTCCCCCCCGGTTTCGCGCTGCGCCCCGTGGTCACGCTGCACCCGACGCGCCACCCCGACCAGGACAACTAGACCGCCACCGGCGCCCTTCCTCTCACCTCAAGTATACTGACGCGCCGGGGGCGGGCCGGCCGGCCGGGCCTCCTCTGCTGGCGGTCTCTGACATCACGGGGCAATTAAATCGGAGCGCGCGTAGTATACCAAGCAAAAGCGGTAGAGAGAGAGAGAGACTCTTCAGACGGAGTCGCGCGGAAATTGCCGAGTGGTGGAAAAATAAATCACGGGAGAGGGGAAAAAAAGACTTTTGAGCAAACATTGAAAAGCCTTTGGCGTGGTTGATGAGAAAAATAAGAGAAAGAGATATATATGGCGAGCGTAACACTATTTTTAGCACTTCTAATAGCATGGCGGAGTTTTAATTTAAACGACTTTGCAAATCCAGCAGCCTTGGCAGTATATCCCGAGTGATAACAATAAGTTCAACCGGTGTTGCGGCCAGGAATATTCAGCTGATAAGAGGTCCTTTTATTGCTTTAGCCCAAGGCGTGCTACAGGTGAAAAATATATTACGGCCGTTATATCCGTCGTATCCGCCACGCTCCCGCGACTCTCGGTCAGGTCAGCAGGGGAAGGGGGCGAGGGGGTGGCTACACAATCATTTCCTTGGCCTTTCTCTAATCACCTCATCAACTCTACTGACCCGGTTCCGCGAGTCGTCGTGTCGCGTTCGTTGTATGCGTGGGCAGCAGCGGGGGCACGGGCACGGGCTACCGAGTGCATCGCGAGTGAGCAAGCGGCCGCCACGCCACGCCGCGCTCGCGACCGCGACTCGGTCAAGGCGAGTTTATCGTCGTATTCCTCGACCCCGCGGGCACACGTTTTAAGCGCGCAGCTATACATTTTAAGTGCGTAGATTCGTTAAATTTATCATTTTTAAAATTACCCTTATGACCAGTTCCTTTGCAAAGAGGGCACAATATCACAACATATTGAGGACAATGATGATTCTAATTGGGTTGGTTGTAAAATTTATATACCCTTCTTTCGTAGTGAAGTAACCCGCGTAACCCCAGGGCCGAGGAGAGCACGGCCCACGGACGGACGGACGGCCGGGGGCCGGAGGGCACGCACAGCGAATCAAAACCAAAACGAGTTGGACGCGCATGATACATCGCTCCAATAATCTACATCAATATCCATCAATCAGCCGCGAGCGATTAAGCGTTTGGCTAACGAACAATAATAATAATGAATTAGCAGAATGGCGCCGCGCGTTTCGTTTCGTAATGTTCACGATGATTCCGATATCACAGTGGTCCGGCGTCCAGACAGATGGACGGGCGGACAGACAGACAGACAGACAGACAGACAGACAGACAGACAGACAGACAGACAGACAGACAGACAGACAGACAGACATCAGACACGCTCCAGGAGGCTCATCTCATCACCCCCCAATAAAGACGAGATAGCCGTTTTGCCGCCATTTGGCAGTCACGTCGGCTCATACGAGTGGGTCTCGAATCGTGGAGTGGTGCCCCGCCCCGCCAGTTCCGGGGCGTCCTTGGCAGAGCCTGCGGCGGCAGCACCTGGGCCGCGCCGGACCCGTGGCAACGAGACAGTACAACAAGACGCCTCGCAAACGAAGTGTCAAGTGTGTGAATTAGTGATAAGAAGACCTGTCCATTTGGAAAATTACAATACTACACGTGTAGTTTCCGCACCGCACACGCCGGCCGCCAAACAACCATTCCGAATTAACAATCATGCCACTTTAACAGAACTGTCCTGAGCTCGTTTCTTTTTATTATTTGATTTTCTTTTAGATTCACTCAAGGTGTTTCAACCACGCCCTATTATGTTTAAAACGCAATATGAAGCTACACTGTCTTCTAAAGCGGTGGTGGTGGTATAAAAAGTCGTAAAAAATTTCAACACCTCCATGAGCAGTTCAGGAGTTGCCTTTGATGACCTTTCGTATTCGCACAGTTGCTTTTGATGACTATTAGCACGGGCCCAATCAGGAGTATCATACGATGGAATACGCGCAATTACTGGTCTTTTTGTATCTCCTTTTATGGGGGGAACAATCACATGCCCGAATAAAACCCATAACAAATGTTTGGTTCTACAACAGGACATTTGCAGTTTTGTTACTTTCTTGCATTTAGCACAGCCCTATCCCTTCCGCATGGTGTGCACCTCGCCCAGAGCAGCGCAACCGGCTCAACTAGCCAAGTGATGCAGGCACCCGCCCCGCAGCCCCGCCCCGCCAGGCGCGACGCACCGCACGTTACACCGTTACACAACGCGTCGCGACAAGCTGATGAGAAATTCAGCCAGGCGGCAACGAAACGGGTCGGGCTGGAGGAGAGGGGCGCTGTGCTGGGGCGCCAGGCCAGCGCGGCGAGAGGACGAGAAGAGCGAGCGAGAGAGTGAGAGCGAGCGAGAGAGTGAGAGCGAGCAAAGAGAGGGAGAGAGAGAGAGAGAGAGCAAAGAGAGTGAGAGAGGGAGGGGGGTGCGGGGGAGATGAGGGAAACGCCAAGAGGGACGGGAGAGATGAGGGTGCGCGGTGCCTGGAGTGGAGTCAGTGCTTCCTCAAGGAGTACAAACAGGAAAGAGGGGGATGGGGAGCCATGCCGTCTTCTGGATCCTTTCCCGCCCTCTCCCGCTCGCTAATACGCGGCCGGACACGACACCTCCCCAACCGTCCGGGTAACACAACTTTTGTTTTGTGATCGTGACGACCACCGACACGAACGAGCACCAGTGCAAATAACACGTTATCCGAGTGAATTCCGCGAAAGGGGAGAAAGAGAGAGAGGAGCTATATGCGTGTGATATGGCAATAAAGCCAGACGGAATACGAGTGAACGTGGTGTGTACCGCCAGGCGGGCGGTGGGAGCAGGCGACGGGGGAGGAGAGGAGGGGGCAGTGACATCTCCAATGCGAGAGCGGCGCGACGGCGCAACGCCGAAATGAGCGGCGAACGAGTAACGAGCGAACCGAGGGGGTGGAGAGGGGGGGG